TCAGTAAAGTTGCATTACTCCCTTGTGACAACTGAATCTATGAAGCAACAATATTATCCATGTCGTCTCGATTCCATTTATCTATGTACATGTATAATTCCAACCCTCTTAAGGGCACACATCAGATCAGGTTGACCTGTACGGACAAATAAATTCAGCAATGCCCAGTTTACATATGGAATAACAAAGCAGTCATTTGTATGCCTTTGGGCTTTGTAAGAAGTTTGTTTTGTTAACGGGTAGTTGGTTTGAGTGGGTCAGTTCAGTTATTTGTTAGAATCCTTCAACAACATTGTCATTCAAAATGCTACTTTTTCGAGGACTACAATGGTGGCTATTTTCAGTCACAGAAGCTAGGTAGACTACAAAGATCAGATGTTTAAATGTTTTTTAGACCTACAGCATTTCAAGTCATTATACAAACATACAAATGTCATAGAGCATTCAGATAGTTCTATGACAACAGCAATAGCAACTACTTATACAATGATAGGGCATCTGGATACTTCTGTACCTACAGGCATTGTTAAGCCTTATTCAATGATAGGGCATCTGGATACTTCTGAACATACAGACATTGTTAAGCCTTATACAATGATAGGGCATCTGGATACTTCTGTACCTACAGGCATTGTTAAGCCGTATACAATGATAGGGCATCTGGATACTTCTGTACCTACAGGCATTGTTAAGCCGTATACAATGATAGGGCATCTGGATACTTCTGTACCTACAGGCATTGTTAAGCCGTATACAATGATAGGGCATCTGGATACTTCTGTACCTACAGGCATTGTTAAGCCGTATACAATGATAGGGCATCTGGATACTTCTGTACCTACAGGCATTGTTAAGCCTTATACAATGATAGGGCATCTGGATACTTCTGTACCTACAGGCATTGTTAAGCCTTATTCAATGATAGGGCATCTGGATACTTCTGTACCTACAGGCATTGTTAAGCCGTATACAATGATAGGGCATCTGAATACTTCTGTACCTACAGGCATTGTTAAGCCTTATACAATGATAGGGCATCTGGATACTTCTGAACATACAGGCATTGTTAAGTCTTATACAATGATAGGGCATCTGGATACTTCTGTACCTACAGGCATTGTTAAGCCTTATACAATGATAGGGCATCTGGATACTTCTGTACCTACAGGCATTGTTAAGCCTTATACAATGATAGGGCATCTGGATACTTCAGAACATACAGACATTGCAAATCATTACACAAATATGAGAGTCCATTTAGACATTTTTCAGAAGCCCAATGTGTCAATAAGCATGTCAAAAGGTTTATGTTGTTGCAATAAAATAAAACCTTTCCATGTGGCCTTCAGAAGCATGGAACACACACACCAAAATAGGAGAGTCATTACTCTCGTCACATCCTATATCAACACAATAACAGTCTAACTGTGATTCTTTGCTCCTGGCTGCAGGAAGACCTCTAAACTTTCATGCTACCAGTCATCTCTACTGGACAGTACTTCCAGAAATATCCATGTACGTCTTGTCCCCGAGGATATTGCGATGGTTGTCCTTCAGCACCATGTGATATTATTCCTACATATCACACAGTTTGTTGTGCTCAAGTATGTACAGAAAGCTTAGCCAGTGGTTGTCCTCATCAATCTGTTTATCACCGAACAATCATTATTGGGTGTCCGATTATTGAGTAACTTAACCTTAGCATTGCATATACATTTTACACAAGGCATGATTTGCATGTTTGTTTGTATGCTCTCAGTTTGGACTACACAATACAATACCTGACATCATGAACACTGATCTGTGGACTATTGGGATATGACATGCAGAACTAAGTCACTGGGTCCGACCACCCGATCCATTAGGTTGCCTCCAACAACCAGCATAGACTGCTTGGGACCAATTCCAACTCGGATCCCACAGGGGCTTTCAGTTATAATGGATGTTGTATTTAAGAAATACACAATGAGTGGATGTTGTTTATCGACACTTAAACACTGCAAGGAGAATAAACCACTCTGGCTTGCCCCTCATGGTTTATTCTCCCTGCAGTGTTTTATTGTATGACAAACGACCCCGAGTCGATTATTTCTTATATGAGCTATTAACATATTATGTACAACCTCTTTAAGGATCTCACTAAAATGTACAAGCTTTAATGATATTTACCCATAATTAAATAATGATGGCCCCCAGAATAGAATCCAACCTTGGTAATGTCGAACAACTCAAATTTATGAACAGGTTTGTTAAGTTTGGTATTTCCCACATATTCACACAATCCTTACATCGAATATTTGCACCTTTTCTTCCATTACCGATTGTCATATCTCTCCCACTTTTGGAAGCAATCATTCAGCCATTGCGTTTATCTGCATAGCCCAGCAACAGCTATGGGGAACAACTTCCTAGACACGTCCCTCTAAAAAATAACGTCATCCTATATTTGACGTCATCAGTTTGCAAGCACATATTTGAATCTTCAAAAGTGACGTCATGAGAGAACAATGTTTAATCGCGAAATTTTTCGTTGTTCTATGTGATTTATGGCATCAGCTGTCATAAACACGAGTATAACCAGTGTTCAGCATCAAGGGATTCCTTTGGTCTTTGAGGTTTGCTGCCACAGTTTTATAATCTAGTGACCTCGAATCTCCAGACATCCTAGGGTTATGACAAGGGGACCTTGACTCTCATGCTTAATTTTGAACCCTGACAGCCCTGGATGCTGGGTTTGGGGTGTAAAGTTGTTTCCCGTTTACACTGTAGGTAATCAACAGAATAGTATTGACTTGTCAAGACTTTCATGATAATCACCTAAAAAGTACTTTTGATTTAAGTTCTATGTTGATACACTTGGAGACTTGAGAGGGAAGATACTGAAGTCTTTCTGTTTACATTATAGATGCATGCACTTGGCTGATTGTACTAGATTGGACTACTGTTGATCATTTAGTGCTAGCCCAATGAGATACCATGCCGCAGGTTCAACATGAATGACCGACTCAGGCACTGTACAGTGACTCGAAGATGACCAGTCCTTGTTTTAGCCCCTTAATGCCTAGCTCCAGGCAGGGTAACAACAAATACCATCTTTTAACATCTTTGGTATCGAACCACTGACATTCTACTCCCTGGGCAAACTGAGACCCAGAATAGACATAATTAGTTCAGTTGCCTTTCATCTCTGAACTGCACTCACATGTTTTCTGAACATCTTTTGGGGGGTTGGCAACCCTGGCAGTACAAACAGCAATCATATTTTGTCCTTTTTTTTCAAGTTTCACACAGAGTTGCATTCAGATTCAAAGATGTCTTTTTTATGTATTTGTGATCCAGTTTGTTCAATTACATATTAAGTATATTTCCACATCCTCCTGATGCTAGAGAACCCTAGATGACAGTGATGGGACATGCCAGATATCTTTGTGCTCCAAATTGTTAGCAGTTCATCAATTGATATAAATAACTGATAAAACCATTCATTTGCATGATCAAACCAATTATCAAAGGCCAAAAATCCATTCAATAAAGGAATTCTGTACATGATGTTTGCTGTCTCACAGCTTAAAGCTCGCCCAGCAATTTGTAACAACAACTTGTGATCAGTCAGATGTGGGTGTGGCTCATAGACATGTGTTTTTAACAGTAAAACAGTTATATCGCGGCGTGTCACTGTAATGTGGGAGTAAAGCCCGAAGTGATGCAAGTCACAGACAATTACCACTTCGGTGAAACCCACGAGCTCAGGTATGGTGCTGACAAACCTAGAAACATAATCGGGGCGAACTGGGATTCGAACCCACAATCATAGGTTTCTGGCGTGCCCAAAGGACGCAACTCTGCACAGCAAATCACGGCGCCTTAGACGACTGGGCCACCCGTGCCCCTCATCACTTTAAATGTATTATGAGGTTTTTTTACATGAGGAAGAACTTCATCAATTTCAATATGAATATTCAGGATGAAACCCAGCCCTACAAATTGTATACAATTATTTACCACACATGAGGGCAATATCACGTTTTATGGACATAGAAGTTTATGTCCATATATTTTATTGCCTGAATTGAGGTCAATAATTATTTTATAATAGAATATAAAAACAATATTTCAATTTGAGCTTTTAATAAGCAAAAAGTTCAACAATAACTCAAATGCACAGACATACTGTTTACCAAGAAGTCTTGCATTATGTTCTTGCTGATTGGCTGGAAACATATCTCTCCTGCGAGTCCATTGGCTTAATCACATAGGGCAATACTACTTCTGATCGCTGCATAGCACGGTGGGTTTTAGGGCAATATGTTTTAATGTAGGTCATGTGACCCTTTCTAAACCAATGAAAATACAGATATAATTTGTAAATGTCATAAAACACACTATATCCTGCACAGGCAGTCTGGGACAGAATGGTAACAAGTAATCTTACAAAAGTGAATATTTTTTGCATTTGCACAAACAGATTAAAGGCAGCATTCTTATTACACCGGACACTGACACCTGAATGGCTGCACCTTTATTAGGACAATAAATGCACAACTACGTCTTTCTTGTCCATGATGTCCTCTAATTGATCATAAGTGACCTAAAACAAACTCCCCCCATCCCCCAAATTACCAAGTTCCTAGTCTCTATTCAACAAATCAGAAGCCATAACTCCTACAACTGATCACATGTGAGCAACCATGGTGATATCCTTTAAACATTTCACAGTTTATGTACTCCCCTAGATCCCCACTTGGGCAGTGTTTGAAATAAGAGCCTGCCTGTGGGCCAGTTGCAGGTAGATCTTGTGTCAGACCCATAGTTACAAATTTGTAAGGGTCCTTTACGTAAATTTACGTGTCTACTTATTTGTCAAAATAAGCTGCAATTTTTCACATGAGGGCCTGAAGAGTAAAGTCAGGACCTGTAAACTTCTGAAGTTTGTGGGTCCTGATGGCAGCCTGGCAAGTTTGTTTTTTATTTCGAACTTGGGTATTAAACTGAGACCTTACCTGGCAGAATTCCTCCGTGTACCTTTGGGTTGCGGTAGATAGGGATGAGGTTGAGGGGTTCTTCTCCAGGAGTTGACTGAGGTTCCACTGTGGGGTCAAACAAACGCAGCATCTCAACTGCCAGCTGAGAAAAAAAAATAATGTTTTGTAAAAAATATGACAAAAAAACATCTTTCCCTTTAGGGTTTACTTCATAGAGATGTTCTGACATGAAATTAAGGTAGTGCTGTGCTCACCTACTTACCAGCAGTCCCGATAGGTCATAATGGTCAGTAGGCAGTAACAGTGATCAGATTTGTTGTATTTGCTAGCATATTGATGGGTCAATGGCAATGTAAACAGATTTTTAACAAGTGCAAAAGTGAGCGTGGCGGACGGACGGAACCTTGGTATAACTATATACCTCCGAAATTTTGTCGGGGGCCATCATGGTAGAATGGAGATTCATTGTAGAGATAGCCTACCTGTAGACCTGTTAACAACGTTAAAATTAATGTTTGAAACCTGCACGTTCGGTTCCAAATCCAATTTAAATTTTGTTGGGGGTATAAAAAGCAGTGTTGGCTGCAAATGGCAACTTCATATAGTTTAGGTTAACATTAATGTGACCTGTGAAGATCCGGATGGAGAATAGGTCTTGAGCAACCCATGCTTGTCGTAATAGGCGACTATGCTTGTCACAAGAGGCAACTAGTGAGTGAGTATGGTTATACGCCGCTTTTAGCAATATTACAGCAATATCATTGCAGGGGACACCAGAAATGGGCTTCACACACTGTACAAGAGGCAACTAACATGATCAGGTGGTCAGACTCACTGACTTGGTTGATGGATATCATCATATCCCAATTGCATAGATCTATGCTCATGATCTTAATCACTTGATTGTGTGGTCAAGACTTGATTATTTACAGACCGCCATCATATAGATGAAAATAATGCTGAGTGCAGCGTTAAACAACAAACAAACAATAACATTTATGCTTCCATCACTAAATTTGTCCATCGCATTGAAAAAGTCATGTGATAACATTTGAACCAGTTGCTGGAAACATCAACTTGTATCATACAGGATAATGTATAAAAAGTAAAATGACATATGCCCAAAGGATTGCTGATTGCACAGCATTGACCTAACACTGTGTGCATGACAATCAAGCTTTAAATACGACCGAAAACCCTACATTCTGCCCCAATCACCGCGACAAAAAAAGCAAAAGCAAATCACTGTGAGTAAGTGAGTGAAAGTTGTTTCATGCCCCTTGTCAGCAGTATACCAGCACCATCCAAACAGGGGTTACCAAGAAAGGGCAATGTGAGGCACTGAATGGGGCTTCCAACTGAGGGCGGTGAGGTAGCCTAGTGGTTAAAGCGTTTGCTTGTCATGCCGAAGGCCTGGGTTCGATTCCCGACATGGGTACAATGTGTGAAGCCCATTTCTGGGGTCCCTCGCCTTGATATTGCTGGAACATTGCTAAAAGCGGCGTAAAACCATACTCACTCACTCACTCTTCCAACTGATGCATCAGCTATCCCACTTTCTCATCTATGTTTTGCTGTCATAGAAAGATGTGGCTCTCAATGAGGTCACGAAAGTCTGTGCCAAAAACATTTGCTTCTACTAGCCCCAACTTGTAACATGACATTACTGCAAGGAGATTTTAGGGTTAATATATGGAGTTAAATTTGCTTAGCTTACTTAGACTGAAATAAATTTAACTAGACCTAGGCTTAGGACTAGTGGCTAAGGTCCCAGACTGTCATGGTAACAGTAAATTGATTATGTGCACTGCATAACTCTTTGTATTTGGGAGCCAATTCAAAGGGTCAGGTATGGAAATTAGCACTAGCCCTCTAGCCCGGACCAGGTTTGTGAATGTTACAGGTTTCCCAAGGGCAAGTAGAATTTCAAACATTTTGGGGGTATTGCGAAAAGCAATCACTGTTCGGGCTAGTAGACCTTGTGGTTAATTTCCATCAATGAGGTGCAGGATCTCAATGGTTATTGTGATTAAATAAATTCTAATTTTGATCACTCATTTCCTTTTAATCTGTCTGGAAGTTCATTTTTTGTGATCATGACTTTAGGCTACATTTCATCAATCTGGAAGAAACATACATTTACTTTCAAATTGGGATATCGCCAATAATAACTACTCTGAAAACTCAATGTATACCCCTCAGATGGAAACAGACAATTGACAGCAGCATCACCACGGAGGCTGATACAGAAAAGTATTTCTCTTTTAGTCATTGTTGGTAGGCGTTTCGAAAATGGTTCTATGTACAAATATAGGTTAAAAAATGCAAGTTGCGGGTACTACAATATTCAAAGGATGTGTGGCAATACATTTTGAGCAGAAAACACATAGTAATCTACAAAAGAATGTATTTCAAGTTTTGTGGACAACAGAGAGCTAGAAATTTGGCACTTCTATGTATACGATCACAATTAGCGATGTGATGTCATAATAGTGACGTGCAGTGACGAGCAAAACCTTGCAAGGCTGGCTAAGTTTTCCTCACGGGTGTCCAGGTTGAACATGTTAGCTTACGAAGTTGCTGTGCTATATGCTTTCGATGCCTGTTATATGTTCCAGTTAAGTATTATGGTATAAAAATAAAGCCTATTTTGTTTAAAGGCTGTTGTTGGTGATTCCATAATTCAGATCGACAACCCATTCAAAACAGTCAGGACTCAACCCATGCCACTTCACTCAATATATTTGCTAACATGAAAGAGTTCACATTCTATTTAGTCATGGTAGAATGGAGATAAACATACTGTGTTTTCATTGTAGAGATAGCCTACCTGTAGACCTGTTAACAACGTTAAAATTAATGTTTGAAACCTGCGAGTTCGGTTCCAAATCCAGTTTAGCATACCGTATACAACGTAATAAGCACCACGTCGAATACGGTAGTTAAATCTACAGGTAAACTAGCTTACAATGAAAACACAATGTTTTTTATCTCCTAATTATAAGTTCTCTGAAAACTCAATATATACTATCACCATAATTGACAGAATCAACATACCATTAATAACAGCACCAAGGAGTCTGACACCTTGACTTACCCCATCAAATACTCCTATGAACAAATAACCCTTATAAACTTCCACCCAAGAAATCATTACTGGAACCTGGAGATAATTAAGCTCATATAACCACATTACTAATGTGTGGACAGTGTGTAAAGCACAGGTGTGTTGATCAAGCTTTCACTGCAATGTACGTGAAATTGACATGTCACACATACTGTAAGTATCACCTTCCTGACCGCAGTCACTGGCAATTACAAATATTTACTTATGTATAAAGAGATGACATATGTGCTGGAATACTGGTACTGAGGCATGGGTTGCCTTAGAGGGAAAGAAGAATTTCAGTAAAAGGTGAGTGAGTGAGTTGGGTTTAACAGTATTACAGTGATATCACGGCGTGTCAGCTTAATGTGGGAGAAAAGCCCAAAGTGATGCAGGTCTCAGACTTTACCACTTCGGTGAAACCCACGGAGGACGGGTATGGTGCTGACAAACTTAGAAACATAATCGGGTTGAACCCACAATCATAGGTTTCTGGCATGCCAAAGGGACGCAACTCTGCACAGCGAATTGTGGCGCCTTAGACGACTGGGCCACCCGTGCCCCCCGATAAAAGGTGAGCTGTTAAAAATGTTTATCCCGGAATCCCTAGGCAATTGTATATTTCTGCCACAGAACCAACTTCTACACAGTTATTCTACATATTTATTCATATGCTACAAAACTTATAGCAATGTCAACATCTGTCCATTAAACCATCATCTTTCCACATGGACAAAACAATCTCGCACATTTCTGCAATCAAAACTGAAACTGATATCAGAAAATGTTCACAAAATTAACAGGACAACTGATTTCATGCATTGGGAAATTTCATCATGAAACTGATGAGGCACTTAACGACGATCTGTCAATCCACTGCAAAACATCCCTGGGTGGGAACATAACCTTGAATAGAAACATAATTACTGGCAGAGAATAGGGTGCTATAAAGTTCATGATTTATTGTTAGCAACGCTACACAGTGTTAGCATCTTGGTAATGTGAAATAGGAGTGGTGTCAGTAGCCTTAGTCTCACTGTGAAATAACAACAGGCATTGTGTAAATGTCACTGATGGCAAACTGACTATCAATTTGTGCCATTTCCTTTTAGCAATTCTCTAATCTTTGAGTAATCATTGATGATCGGCTGATAGTGATGATGTGTGTGTCATACATCCACTAAACATGTCACAAGAGTCATAACATTGATAGTTGTCATATAAACAAGGTGTCATGTGAGAGTGATTTGGACACTGCTTTGATATTTTTCATGGTTTTCTGCACTTTGGTCTCAAAGAGCCGATGCAACTGTATATTTCTCAAAGTGAAATAACCCGTTGTCTTAATCACATGACTATGGCGCTACCCCGGGCCATAATCGGCTTGAATCTGATAGTGGAACCCCTGATGTGAGGATCCTGGCAAGACAAGGCACATAACTCTGTACAGTGAGCTTCAGGGTGTTACACCACTGTGCTGCCTGAGTGAGTGAGTGAGTGAGTGAGTGAGTGAGTGAGTGAGTGAGTGAGTGAGTGAGTGAGTGAGTGAGTGGGTGGGTTGGTGGGTGGTTGTGGGAGGGAGTATTCATTTTCCTAGCTTTTATGTGATTTAGGAATCATATATGTCATGGTTTTTGTCTGATACACACATCACATTTTAGTTGACAAAACATATCTTTTGAAGTCAGTATCAGTTCTTACAAAAACATTCAAGGGACTGTACCAGAAATTGTTTATGTTTAAATTACACCATGTTTCCATCAACCGAATTGTAAACTGAGAGACTCAAGCAGGACTCTCTGCTCTTGCGTCTGACTCTCTCAAACTATGCATTGAGACTCCCAGTTTTCATAGGCTGGGTGAAACACTTCCTTTCTCTAACAGAAAAATCTGAACTAGTTTTCACATTGTTGTTATACTTCTGACACATTTTAGTCTCTGAGAGGAATAAAATAAATATGCCAATATCATTTATTCATGAAATCAACATTAGACACTTTAGTAGGGTCCTTTCATCTACGGATACAAATATCTAT